ACAGTTTTTATAAGAATGATGTCATAGCTCTTAAATTTTTTTTCTTGCATGCATTTACCATTGTTTCAAAGGGAGGAAATGAGGTCCTCTTCAGATCTCATAAGAATATTGTTTTTACTGAGTCATTGGCTCACAGAAGCTTGTGTTTCTTCCTCAGATGCGGGAAATAAGATCCCAGTAATGCAGCTGGTAGGACAGTTGGGGCAAAGGGGGATGACCACATTAGTGATCTTACTTGTCGGGTTCTTTTCTGTTTTCAAGTATGCTGTTTATATTGTCTGTGGCCATTAGTTATGTGGTCCAGCAGATCAGAATGAGCTAAATTGGGGTACAGATATGACGATGAAGTTATTTTGTCTTGGCCAGCAAGGGCCGACCTGGCCACTGTCCCAAGCATTTTGTCATCTTTAATTTACTTTAAAAGGCCATGGCAGTCACTGCCTGCACTTGCGTATCAGCCCCAACCCTGAGTTGACCTGACCAGTAAATGAGAGATGAACTGTTCCCAGGACTCAGGGCATTCCGAGTCTTGTTGTTCTGTGGGTTGAGAGAGTTAGTATCTTCTTTTTTAAAATCTTTACCCATTCTTCGAGGCGCAGCTCCAGTCTAACCACCTCCATTGATCATTCCGTGACTGCCCTAGCTCACCACTATCTACCTTTCCTCTTCTGTAGTATTTCCTCTCTACCACGCATTTGACACTTAGCAAATTTGCATTGTTAATACATAGATAAACCTTAACTCCACACGTAAGTTATAAGTATCTCACCCATCCATCACCCAGCTATTTCTTGTAAGGCGCTCAAAAAAATTGAGGGTTTTCCCAGTTCAAAAATTGCCGTCTTTTGGTTTTGTATCTCCTTCATTTCTGAATATGTTCTCCCCCTGCCCAGCAAGCTCTCCCTCATGACAAGGAAGCTTTTTTAAAAAGCAGATTAGCAAACCAAGACTTCAGGTCTGATAGTTTATATGCTGTTCCACACCCATGGTTCTCACTTCTACAAGCAAAAGAGGGAGTTGTGTTTCCTTTTGTTTTTCTTTTGAGCCATACTTACTCGTTGAAATTACAGGGCTCAGGGTTTTTTTTTTTTTTTTGGTGGTGGTTCTTTCTGTTTACGTTGTTGTCATTGTATATATTGTTTTTCTGGTTTTGCTTGCTTTACTTGGTTATCCATTTAGATGATGAGCCTTCTCAGGCTTCTGAATTCATAGTCACTGTTTCTTAGAGCACATTAATATTCCCTTACATTCTTGCACCACAATAGGCATTTACTTTTTCCACTTCTTTGCTACCACAAAAAAAAATTACTCTGAATAGTTTGGTGTTTATGAGACCTTTATTTGACCTCCTTGGGGGAGGTATGTGCCTATCAGTGGGATCTCTGGGTCAGAGATTACGTACTTTTGTCATCTTTTTCACATAATTCCAAATTGCTTTTCAGATTGGTTTACTAATTCACAATTCTGTCAAGAGATAGCTGTGCCTATCTTCTATACTTCTCCAGTATACTCAAATTAAAATGTGGTTAATTAAGAATAAGCTTCTTAATTCCTCTTTCTGAGTTCCAAAAGCATCACCATTACTATTGTTGTTGTATAATAGCCTAGTTGTAAAGCTCTCTCAATTGGTTACTTCAAAAAACATGGCAACTCGAGTTAGTTTTCTCCATATTGTATTTGCTTGAGGAGTCAGTCCACGAACCAAGGGCCCATAAAATCCCCGAGGGGAAAATACTTGAAGTTGAAATTATGTGTAGCGGGGGTAGACTTTCCCACAGAAACAATGGAGTGTCTTAAAAGTATGCTTGCTTAAAAAAAAAAAAGTATGCTTGTTCAAGGAACTGATTGTCCTGAGCAGTATGTATGCAGTATTCTAAAGCACATTATAAATTACTTAAACAGGGCAGTGGAATACTGAATTATATCTAATATCATGGAATCTGAGTTTCAAGAGACCTCAGGTCATCTCATACCTAACTTCGATCTCCCCCTTTTATGATGTCCTCAACTTCTCTTTGAAGACCTCTAGTGATTCAGAACTCACTGTCTTTTGAGGCACCGAATTCCACTTTGAAAGCTCTTTAAGTGTTGGGAAATTTTTTTCCTTTTCCACATCCTGCACAGTTGTCATTTGCATTGCTGTTGGGTTTTTTTTTTTAAACAAATGTAAAATTTTACCTTTCTCGCTTTTGAATTTCCTTCTAGTAGATTCAGACCATTTTTAGCCTAATAAGATCTTTTAGAATCTAGATTTTTATTTAGCATGTTACTTATCCTTCCCAGCTTTGTCATTATCCAAAAATATGATGAACATGCTCTCTTTTCCTCTATTTAGTTCGTTGATTAAAAAGGTTGAACAGCATGAGGCCAAGGACAGATCCAAAGGGGACTCCGCTTGAGACTGACCCCAGTCCTGTCACCAGTCTTTGGGACCCACATTCCCTTAATTACCCTGGCCGCTGGCCGGGGCCTTCTCCTGGTCACCCTGCCAGTCTGGTAACCCTGTCCAGAAGTCAGATAAAGACATTCAGTTTGCCATCCCTGGTTATGTCCAGACTGGCTCTCATTGGTCACTGTTTGCCTTCCCAAACACTCACAAACTGACCCTTTAATAATACACTCCAAGACTTTGATGGGAATAGAAGCAAATAGAAAATCTTGAGACTGGGCCTTTTCTCCGTCCCTCCCTCTCCCTGTCCCCACCCTTGCCTGGCAGGCAGGCAGTGCTCAAGGGAGCGCCGTTCTTCCCTGGTGGCATCTTGCCCCAAACGCTTTTGGAACTCCTCTTTTGAAATTACCTTTGGGGCCAGTGTACCAACTACACAGAGAAACCAGTCTATTGTAAGGTCATAGGATTTAGGGTTGATAGGAACTGGAAAGATGATCTAGATGCCTGCCCTTTCTCTCTCTCTCTCTCTCTCTCTCTCTCTCTCTCTTTCTCTCTCTCTCTCTCTCTCTCTTTCTCTCTCTTTTGGTGAGGCAACTGGGGTTAAGTGACTTTCCCAGGGTCACACGGCTAGTGAGTGTTAAGTGTCTGAGGCTGGATTTGAACTCAGGTCCTCCTGACTCCAAGGCTGGAGCTCTATCCATTGCGCCACCTAGCTGTCCCTCGCCCTTTCTCTAAATGAGGAAAGTGAGCCCCTGGGAGGTGAAATCTCTTGTCTGGAGCCATACAAGTACTAACTTGGAGAGCTAGGATTTGAACCCAAGTCTTTGGACTCCAGATCTGTTTTCCAGCATCTCACACTCTAATCACACACTGTTCTCTCTCACTCTGCTTCTTGCCTCTGCTGTTCTCTCTATACCAAGCTTCTTCTCACTCAGACTTAGGTTTAGTGGATTGGCTGGAATTTCTGTCAGTACTTCCTGTGATGTTTGATGTGTGACCCTCAGCAAAGCTCCTTCTCGTGCTTATTAGGATCCGTCGAGGTAATTTGTGTCTGTGAAAGCACTTTGAAAACCTGAAAATTCGTTCAGTTTTAAGTAGTGATTAGAATCATGAGCAGACATTTTGTTAAGCTCCCAGCTAGCTGTGTGTGAGACTTTCAGTCGTGTCTGACCGTTCCTGACTCCACTTGGGGTTTTCTCAGCAAAGACACTAGAGAGGTTTGCCATTTTTTTTCAGACTCATTTTACAGATGAGGAAACTGAGGCAAACAGGGTGAAGTAACTTGCCCATAGTCACACAGCTAATAAGTGTCTGAGGGCAGATTTGAACTCAGGAAGATGTGTCTTCCTGACTCCAGGCTCAGTGCTTGTCCACTGGGCTATCTAGCTGCCCGGATAAATAAATACAAGAGAATTTGAGGAGGAGGAACCCTATAATCACTGGGGTTTATCACCGTCTTTAAGGAGGTGGTACCAGAACTGTGTCTTGAAGAAGAGAAAAATTCTGAAAGGTGGAGACTGGTAGAAGTAAATTCAGGGTGCGGCAGGTCAGCCTGGACAAGCGAATGGGGCTGGAGCAGGAGCAGGCGTGTGAAGGGAAGGATCGTGACAGTGCTGCAGCTGCTTCTTAGTGTGGGCACTCTGTATCCCCTGCAGAGTTAATGCAGACTGAAGTGCATCATGTCAGAACCCTGAAGATCATGTTGAAAGTCTATTCAAAAGCGCTGAAGGAAGAGATGCAGTTCAGTAGCAGAGTCCTCAACCGCATCTTCCCGTGTGTGGATGACTTGCTGGAGATGCACGGGCAGTTCTTACACCGCTTAAAGGAGCGACGCAGAGAATCCTTGGCAGAAGGGAGTGATCAGAATTATGTGATCCAGAAAATTGGAGACCTCTTGGTGCAACAGGTGGGAACTATAATAATTGGGGGAAATTAGCGTACAGTAGGCATTCCAGCTTCTTTGATCAGTAGCATGGCTTGTGGTCTGGGACCATAGAGAACTAGAGTATGCCCATATGAGGGGGCTGTCTTGGTATTTGGCTTCTGGGAGGATCTGTTCCCAGCTGGCACGTATGCTTTGGGTCACTTCTAAAATGACAAGCAGAAATTCCTGAGGAGACTAGCAAATCTCTCTCTTGATGCCAGAGTTCTTTCTTGAATCAGTTTGTAAACTAAGTGTTATTTTGTACTCTTAATAAGAAGAATGCTTATTACAGCAGTCCTTGTTTCTTTTTCTGTTTTTCTCACATTTTCTGGATTGCTCTGGCTTATAGGTTATCAAGTTATCGTTTCCTTCTGCGGCCTATTAAAGCCCTTATTTTACCTCCAGGGTTTCCCTTTTCTTTTTAGAGGAGAAACAGACATTGGAAGTAAATTAGATGGTCTGTTTGAAGCTTGATGAAGTTGATTCAGATAGACTCTGGTGGTTGCAGACAGCCTTCCCATGATTTGTTTTCTCTCTCCTATATTAGTTTTCAGGTGAAAATGGAGAAAGAATGAAAGAAAAATATGGCATCTTTTGTTGTGGTCACAACGAAGCCGTCAGTCACTATAAGGAACTGCTCCAGCAAAACAAGAAATTCCAAAACATGATAAAGGTAAAAAGTAAGAGCCTTGTGGCTGTAAGTTTTGAGAACTTGGCTCCCTCCTGTGTTCCCTGATGCTTTTGTTTGTGAGCGGGAGAGTCATAAATGCGTTGCAAGAATATTTATTTTTAAAAGTACAACATTCTAGTTTGATCCAGAAGGAACTAAACTGAACAGGAAGGGAAGGGAGAGGGTGCCTGGAGGTCATGTACCAGTCTGATAAGCAGTGCTATGCGCCACCTCACACTGGAGAACCAGAAAAATGTCTAAGAGAAATATTTTGACCAAATAGCAAAAAAAGCTAATATGTAAATGTTATCACTGGGCTGGTCAAGGCCCAGCGGGTCAAAGCCACATTCTCAGTTATTTTCTGAATCAATGACTTTGGAGTCTTGCTGGTATGTCTTTTTTTTTGAAACATAGCTTTGTAAGCACGAAAGGATAATTGGCAATATGCTCCAAAGAATAGAACTTGTTTTTCTTCCCCTCCCATCGACAGGGAAGGGCTGGCTTCCAACCAGGCTTGATGCATAAACCTCTATCCTCCCTGGGAGGTGCACCCTGCCTTATTTTTTCGTTCAGTTTTTATAAGTTGAGAATTGTGTTTCCAAAAGCACAGGCAGTCTGATGCCCTATAACTCAAGAGTCAGAAAGCCAGGTATTTCTGATCAGAAAATGGAGACGTAGAAAGCAGATTGACCTGTTAGTGGGCCTGTGTAGAGGGCTGAATTTTAGTTGCTCAAGAGTTAATGTTTGTAAGCTTTGGCTTTTTCTTTCCATAGAAAATTGGCAACTTCTCCATTGTGAGGCGGCTTGGTGTTCAGGAGTGCATTCTTCTCGTTACTCAGCGCATTACCAAGTACCCGGTGCTGGTGGAGCGCATCATTCAGAATACTGAAGGTACCGGCTTTTCTGACCCTCTCTGTGGGCATTATAGTGCTGCTTGATAAATAACATACTGTGGATTGTTTAACTTTTGTCCCACATACCGTCTTCCTAATGTGCTCTAAATACGATCCTCTTTTTGCCTTTGAAAACTAAAACTCCCTATGGAATTTCCCTTGGCCCTGAGCCATGAAGGGTATTTTGGGGTCACTTTAGCTGCATTTATTTTGATGCATTAAAAACAAGAATTCTGCATTGGCACAAATGGTAGTTCTTTGTTTCAGGGAGCCCTATGAGAATTTTAAATTTGTGGAGGGTCCTTGGGGTGCTGTACTGGTGGTGCATAGCTTGGGGTGAGACCATCATTTTTTGTGTTTGCTGTGCTTTAAAAAAAAAAAAAACAGAACTAACTCTGCTGTCCATGGCAGCTGGTACTGAAGATTATGAAGACTTGAACCAGGCTCTCGGCCTAATAAAAGACATCATCACACAAGTTGATGCCAAAGTGAATGAATGTGAGAAGGGGCAGCGTCTCAAAGAGATTGTTGGCAAGATGGACCTCAAGTCCTCTGGCAAGCTCAAAAATGGGCTGACCTTCCGGAAGGAGGGTATGCTCCATAGGCAGCTCCATCTTGATGGAATGCTGTGCTGGAAAACTGCATCAGGGCGTCTGAAAGGTAAACAAGGGAAAGGAGGTGGTGGGTGTCGCTCTGGTTTGCCAAATACGTTTGTGACCAGCCATGCACCTGGAGTAAAGTAGGTCAGTTAGCAAGCATTTATTAAGTGCTTTCTGTGTGCCAGACACTGTGCCGAGCACTGGGGTACAAAGAAAGGCACCTGGAGGTTTGTTGTTTATTTAAGCCAGATTTAGAACATTGTGGTTCTTAAGTATGATAATGAGTTAACTGTACAGATCATTTCTTTTCCTGATTTGCTAGTCTGGGAAATATATTTAAGCTAATCATAGCGTGTTCAGGTCTTCTGTGAGTGCTTCATGAGCTCTCTTCCATGAAAACACATTATTTTGAGAGACTCATGGTTTGCAGTCAAGGAAATAAACATCAACCTGTTTTTTGCCCACAAAAGATCAGAGCAGAAAGCAAGGCTGTCTTTAAAAAGCTGTGCTGTTCAGATTTTTGCATTTCAGGCCCAGCTTCAAAGCAGCTCCTTTCTTCCCGTACCCACAGCTGGATGTCCATGTCCTTGGTGTTACTGTGGCCCAGCCACATGGATCTGCTCCTTTTGGAACATGTTACATGCTGTGCAGAGATTTTCCTTGTCAAATTTGTACAAGAATGTATGCCTTCAGAGAGGGACTCTATATAGCTCATTCATTGGCTTATTGCTGAGTTTGCTAGCCGTTGAAATGGGAAAGCAACATGCTTCCTTTTTTTCTAATGCAAAGATGAGGGAAGGCCAAGAACTTAAATACACACCAAGGGGCTTCTTAGATGCCAGAGAGCAAAATTATTGTACTTCACAGTCTGTCCTCAGGCTGCATGTGAACTGTCTGAGGAACTCGTAGGACCCTGGAGATCATCTCATTCAATCCCCTCACTTTACAAATGAGGAAACTGAGTCCCAGAGTTGTGAAGTGACTTGCCTGAGGTGGCGTGGGGAGCAAGCGCAATCCTCTGTCTCCGATGCTTCTTAGTTGTCTGCTTACAGCATTTCATGTTCTTACTTTGCTTTCTTCCTAGAAGTCCTTGCTGTCCTGTTGACTGATGTACTTTTGCTGCTACAAGAAAAGGACCAAAAATATGTCTTTGCATCTGTGGTATGTACTCTATTACTCTTCCTCTCTGTAATTGACACTTAACCCAGCCCTTCATTGACAGTTCCTGAGGTCGAGGCCCTCCAGGGGCTGCATAGTTTTCATCTGTACTGCTGCCCAGCTTGCAGATGTTTGTAAACAAGTATCAGAGCATCGATGCTGGTCGTTCTCTACTGGTGGCAAATGAGAAGGCAGTTTAGTGAGCTTGCCAGTGGGTTGGTCAAGAGGAGAAGGACAGTCAAGTGATGGGTACATGGATGCAGGCAGACATTTCACTACCTTACAGTAGAGATGCCAAGATATTTTGTAGTGCCAACAGAGAATCCCTAGACTTTTGAAATCTTTTCCTAGTCCTGCCTCTGAATGACACACCCAGAGTCCCACTGAAACCTGACTGTGTCTTTGGAATGTAAGTTGTGATGTCTGAGGCCAGAGAGTCCAGGGGTATCGTTGGGTGAAGCTGGATAGGTATTCGTGCCATGGGTCGTTGGAGAATGCTGCACAGGATGGCCTATGTTGGGTAACTTGTGAAGGCAGGAGAAGTGACAGCTTCATACACCACAGAACCTCCTGCCTTCAAATTGGTCCTTACGAATACAAGCTGGATTTTCTTTTCTGGAGGAGGGGTTTGCAGCTTTTCTTCATTCTCTAGCATAATTACAAACCCAAGGGTAAGGTTGGAATCCCATATCCTCTACTGAAGTGATCTCTAAAGCTTCTTAAAAGTATAGGTTTGAGAAGGAAGAGAGAGAAGCAGCATAAATATTTGAGAGAGGAATAGCAGTGGTCCATCAGCCCTAAGCTACAGTAACACACAAATCAGTGGTGCCCAGAGCAGCAAGTTCTGATAAGGGCTTTGCTTTGGAAGTGTGGAAGGAACAAGATTGGGAAGAAAGGATAAAGCTTGGTCACCTGCACAGATTTCTGGCCCACTGAGTTTTTGCAGAGAAAAGCCTAGCATGCCACTGTGCACTAAGGAGCTCTGTTGTGGGAAGGCACAACTTTGTGGTTGCCATGTTTGTGTGCACTTACTGGTAGCTCCAAGATAGGAATTGGAAGCCTGACTGTTATTGATGAGTAGTTTTGTCTGGGAACCTCTGGGGCTTGCCTGGTTTTGTATGATAAAGCTCCTCTGGTCTGTATTCAGGGCAACACAAGGAGAAAGGCAGTTTTTAAAGCAAAGGTCTTTCACTGGTGAGGTTAGCAAGGGGGGCTTTTTGCCTACAAAAGGACTCGAGTTGTTCAGAGGCTCTTGGATGCTAATGGATGAGATTAAAGATGAACTGGTTAGTGTAATCTTGTATAACAAATTGTATGCTAAGGGTGAGTTTATACACATTGAGAAAACTGTACTCCTATGCATTTGATTTTGAAGTGCATTTTATTTTATTGATTTTTAATAGTATTTTGTTTATTCCCAATTATATGACAAGATAATTTTTAGCATTCATTTTTACAAGATTTTGAATTCCACATTTTTCTCCCTTCCCTCCCTCTTCCAAAAATGGTGGGCAGTTTGATGTCGGTTATATGTGTACTGTCACATAAAACATATTTCCATATTAGTCATGGTTGTGAAAGAAGAAACAGATCAAAAGGGGGAAAAGAGTAAAGGAAGTAAGAGAAATATGTTTAAATCTTCAGAGTCCATTAGTTCTTTGCCTGGAGGTGGATAGCATTTTCCTTTGTGAGACCTTTGTACTTGTCTTGGATCATTGTGCTGCCGAGAAGAGCTGAGTTATTCATAATTGATCATCACACAGTGTTGCTAATACTGTGTACATTGTTTTCCTGGTTCTTCTCCTTTCACTTTGCATCAATTTGTGCAGATCTCTCCAGGATTTTCTGAAATCTGCTTTTCATTGTTTCTTATTGCACAATAGCATTCCAGTACATTCATATACCACAGCTTGTTCAGCCATTTCCCAATTGATGGGCAGCATCCCCTCAATTTCCAGTATTTTGCCACCATGAAAAGGGCTGCTCTGAATATTGTTGCACATGTAGGTCCTTTTCCCTTTTTTATGATCTCTTTGGGATACAGACCTAGTAGTGATATTGCTAGATCAAAGGGTATGCACAATTTGGTTGTCCTTTGGGCATAGTTCCAAATTGTTCTCCAGAATGGTTGGGTCAGTTCACATATCCTCTCCAGCATTTATCATTTTCCTTTTTTGTCATATTAGCCAATATGATAGGTGTGAGGTGGTACCTCAGAGTTGTTTTAGTGTGCATTTCTCTAATCAAAAATGATTTAGCACATTTCTTCATACGCCTATAAATAGCTTCGATTTTGACCATTTAACAGTTGGGGAATGGCTAGTATTCTTATAAATTTGACTCAGTTCTCTATATATTTGAGAAATGTGGCCTTTATCAGAGATGGTTGCTGGAAAGCTCATTTCCCAGCTTTCTGTTTTCCTTCTAATCTTGATTGCATTGGTTTTGTTTGTTGTACAAAAGCTTTTTATTTTAATGTAATCAAAATTATCTGTTTTATGTTTCATAATGCCCTTTCTCTTGTTTGGTCATTAATTGTCCCTTCCCCATACATCTGACAGGTATTCCTTGTTCTTCTAATTTGCTTATGGTGTCACCCTTTATGTCTAAATCGGTCTAAAGCCATTTTGACTTTCTCTTAGTATACAGTGTGAGATGTTGCTCTATACCTAGTTTGTGTCCTGTTGTTTTCCAGTTTTCCCAGTAGTTTTTGTCAAATAGTGAGTTCTCATCCCAAAGGCTGGGGTCTTTGGATTTATCAAATACTAGTCATTGGACTAGTTATAGACTACTTACTGTGTCTTGTGTAATCTGTTCCACTGATCTTCTACTCTTACTTAGCCAGTACCAGATAGTTTTGATAATTACTGCTTTATAATATAGTTTGAGATCTGGTGTTGCTGGGCTACCTTCCTTTGATTTTTTTTAAATTAATTCCCTTGATATTCTTGACCCTTTGTTCTTCCAGATGAATTTTTTATTTTGTCTAGCTCTATCAAATAATTTTGTGATAGTTTTATTGGTACAGCACTGAATAAGTAAATTAGTTTAGGTAGAACTGTCATGTTATTATATTGTCTCATCCTACCCATGAGTGATTGATGTTTTCCCAACTCTTTAGCTTTGACTTTATTTGTATGAAAAGTGTTTTGTAATTTTGTTCATATCGTTCCTGGGTTTGTCTTGGCAGGTAGACTTCCAAGTATTTTAATTATTTTAAATAGAATTTCTCTTTCTGTCTTGCTGCTGGGCTTTGTTGGTCATATAAAGATAAGCTGATGATTTATGTGGGTTTATCTTATATCCTGCAACTTTGCTAAAGTTGTTAGTTATTTCCAGTAGTTTTTTAGTTGAGATAGAGTTCTCCAAGTATACCATCATATTGTCTGCAAAGGGTGATAGTTTTGTTTTTTCATTGCCTATTCTAATTCCCTCAATGTCTTTTTCTCTTATTGCTAGATCTACCATTTCTAGTACTATACTAACAGTGGTGATAATGGGCATCCTTGCTTCACCCCTGATCTTATTGGGAAGGCTTCTAGCTTATCCCCATTATAGATAATGCTTGCTGATGGCTTTAGATAGATACTGCTTATCATTTTTTAAAAAAATTTTATTAATTGATTTTGATTTATCAACAATCACTTCCATATGCTTTTGAGGTGAGAATTTTTCTCCCCCTTCCTCCCCCCCACCCTGATATAGGCTTTCCATTTACATTTACATTAAACATATTTTCACATTAGTGAAGTTGTAAGTAAAAATTAAAACCAATAGGAGGAACTATCAGAAAGATGAAACAGAACTCAACAGAAGGTAAAAATAAGTGATAGCGATTCGATTTCCATAGTTTGGGCAGCATTTTCCATCCCGAGGCCTCTGGAGATGTCTTATATCCTTGTAATGCTGAGAAGGGTTCAGTTTAACAATATTAGTCATCGCATAACGTGGCTGTTGTTGTGTACAAAGTCCTCTTGGATCTGCTCACTTCACTTAGCATGAGACCATATAAGTCTTTCCAGGTTTTTCTGAAGTCAGCCAGTTCATCATTTCTTATAGCACAATAATACTGCTTATCATTTTAAGGAACATCCCCTTTATTCCTGTGTTCTCTGTTGTATTTTATGTATTTTGTCTAAAGCTTTTTCATCATCTATTGAGATAATCACATGATTTCTGTTGGTTTTATTACTGATATGGTCAGTTGAATTGATAGTTTTCCTAATATTGAAGCAGCCCTGCATTGCTGGTATAAATCCTATCTGGTCATAGTGTATATTCTTTGTGGTATATTGCTCTAATTGCCTTTTTGTTCAAACTTTTTGCATCTATTCATTAGAAATTGGTTTTTAATTTTCTTTCTCTGTTGTAGCTCTTCCTAATTTAAGTGTGAGCACCACATTTGTGTCATAAAAGGAGTTTGGTAGGACTCCTTCACCTGTTTTTCCAAGTAGTTTATATAGTATTGTAATTAGTTCTTTAAATGTTTGGTCAATTTCACTTGTGAACCCATTTGGCCCTTGGGGTTTTTTTTCTTAAGGTGTTCATTAATGGCTTGTTCAGTTTCTTTTTCTGAGTTGGGGTTATTTATATTTCGTGATCTGTTAATCTGGGTAATTTGTATTTTCGTAAATATTCATTGATTTTGTTTGGATTGTCAGATTTATTGGCATATAATTGGGCAAAATATTTCCTAATGATTGTTTTAATTTCTTCATTGGTGGTGATTTTACCTTTTCATTTTTGATACAGGATTATTTGGTTTTCTTTTCTTTTCTTTTCTTTTTAATAAAATTAACCAGTGGTTTATTTAGCTTCCTGGTTTTTTCATAACACCAGCTCCTAGATTTATTTATTAGCTCAATAGTTTTTTTTATTTTCAATCTAATTAGCCTCATCTCTGATTTTCAGGATTTCTAATTGGGTGCTCAGTTGGGGATTTTTCACTTCGTTTTTCTAGTTTTTTTAGTTGCATGCCCAATTCATTGATCTGTTTTTCTATT